ATTCCTCTCTATTCTGCTTTGGTCAGATTTCATCAGGAATACTATGTCCAATTCTGGGCACTACAATTCAAAAGGGATATTAACAAGCTGGGAGGTATCCAGAGGAGGCAACTAAAATGATCAAATATCCGGAGACCATGCCCTATGAGGAGCCTCTTGAAGAGCAGGGTATGTTTGGCCTGCAGAAGAGAAGGTTGAGAGGAGACATGGTAGCTATGTATAAATATCTGAAAGGATGTCATAAGGTAGAGGCTTGTTTTCTGCGGCCCTGGAGACTCAGACTTGAAACAATGGGTTCAAATTGCAGGAAAGGAGATGCCACCATTAGGAGGAACTACCTGACTGTACAAGCTGTTCAATAGTAGAACTCTCTTTCCCAAACTGTAATGGAAGATCCATCCTTGAATCCTTTTAAACAGAAGCTGGATGGCCATCAGTCAGGGCTACTTTGATTGTGCTTTTCCTATATGGCTGGGGGTTGGACTAGATGGCCCACGGGTCTGTTCTAAGTCTATTATTCTATGATCTGCAAGTTGCTTCTGCAAGTCACTTCTGGTTGTGAGAGAATCAGCTGTCTACGAAGACGCTGTCCAGGGGAGACCCGGATGTATTACAATCCTGCAGGGAGGCTTCACTTATGTCCCCCGACATGCAAGTGTGGAGAAGAGCAAACCACAGACCACCTATTACAATGCAGCCTGAGCCCTGCCACATGCACAGTCGAGGGCCTTCTTATTGCAACACCAGAGGCACTCCAACTGGCCAGCTACTGGTCAAAGGACATTTAGTATAAGGTCAAGTTTTTTTTAACTTTGTGTTTTTAAATACATTACAACTGTACTCTCAGTTTGCTTCTGACACAATAAATAAAATTATATGATCTGGTGTTAGAAGAAATGGTTAAGGTTAAAATTACAATGAAATCAGAGTTTTCCTTGTTGGGAATATTAGGCAATCATCCAACTCTATGATTCTATGAGTTGCTGCAAAGTGAGTTCAAACTGCAAAAATTGTTTGCATTTAATTGATTCAGCAGAGAGAGAAGAGGAAAGAGAAGCTGGCAGGATCTTTGGCCTTCCCTGGAGATGCAGGCAAAAGGAAACTACTGCAGCCTCTCCTAGCTTATGTGTTTCCTCATTAATAACCTTTTTCTTCTTGCGCACACTCTGATGTTGCTTGGCTGCACATATCTCAGTTTTCATCTGTGAAATGTAATACAGCATGCAGACTATTAATTCTGTTTTCCTTGCAAGCCAGAATTTCAAATAAAGATAAATCCAGCTTGCTTGGCAAGTCAAACATAAGCCATGGTGTGCTGGTTCAGAAATACTATCTGGAAATCACAGAGTGAGCTGGAAGGAAGAGCATGCAGCCAAGAGGATTCCCAGTCCAATCATGTTTGGCTGGGAAATACGTACATCTAAAAGAACTAAACAGGAAAAAGATGGTTTATCATAATCCAGGGAGTTTCCTCTTGTGTACATTGCATCTAAGCATAAATGCTTCCCGTACTCTGAAGCATCTTGGCATTTTTATTTTAACGTGATGGTAGTTTTCGTTGATTGTTTTAAGAAAGACAGTAAAGGCTTTTAAAATTTCACCACCCTTCTAAGGAATTTGACCTGTTCTCAGTTTTATTGCATCAGGGTGGTATTTTATTGTGGCTGTCTTGGGTATCCTTATGTGCACTGTAGGAATATATAGGGGAAATGCATAATAATGAACTTGCTGGCATTTAGCACTTTGAGGATGTACACCTTATTTTATGATTCACCAAGAGGATTTTGGTGATAACTGGTTCAGTTTTCATACCTTGCCATATTCTTTCCAGCCCTCTCCAAAGTACCTCCATTATGCTATAAAATTTGATACGTTGTCCTCCTCTTTGCTTCAGTTTTACCAATAAATACATGTCTGATGACTAGGGATAGATGAGAATTTTGTTTTTGATTGGTTTTGATCAGTATGTCTTAGAATTTGCAAACTTGAGGTGTGGGAGAGGTGCAACTGACAGATTTGCCCATCCCTCAGAAAAGGGTAAAATTTGTTTCTGTTCTTGTTTTTTTTAAAAAAAAATCAGAATTTTTCAAGTATTCACAAAATTCAAATGTGGGAGAAAATGAAACTAAAACATTGGACTATCATTACACATGACACAGCATTCCTACACAGAAGCCACTTAGGAATATGAGTGATAATCTAAGTACACATCACTATATCTGGATATCTCATGCATGCCTTTTCCACTGTGTACGTCAGCACTGTCTTCAATTTCCTGTGTGGTCTTCAGAAAAGACCATGATTTTGAATTGACACAACAACAACAACAAAACTTTATTTATATACCGTTCTATCTCCCCAAGGGAACTCAGAGCGGTTTCCAAGTAACATAATCAATACATACAAAAAAAACCGCGTAAACATAAAATTAACAAGACAATATAAGCATTAAAAACCACAATAGCACATATATTTAAAATAATCCTGCCTGTTCAAGGCAATTTAAAAGGCCGGGCCGGGTCGGGCTATTGTGATTTTAGAGGGCCCGCGAAATTAGATAGAGTCTATGACTGTACATTTCCAGGGCCTAATAGAAGAAAGTGACCTGGGTAATTGGTAGAAAAAGATATGGCCAAACTCAACAGTATCTGGGGCAGAGCTAGAACTAGTCATTCTCAAAGATTTGTTTAAACCATCAGGTCTTCAGGCTCTTATGAAAGGAGGGGAGGGATGGGGCCTACCTTATTTCTCTAGGAAGGGCATTCCAGAGGCAGGGGGCCACCACCGAGAAGGCTCTCTCTCTCGTCCCCACCAACCGTGCTTATGACGGTGATGGGAGCAAAAGGAGGGCCTCCCCAGAAAATCTTAAAGTTCGCGCCCGTTCATAGAGAGAGATGCAATCGCGAAGATAGGCAGGGCCCGAAACATTAAATAACCAGATAACAAGCAATGCCTGCTGAAATTCCCTCTTCTATACAACTATTAAAAGTACGGGAGTCCTCTCTAATTTTCTCTCTGGCAACCCTAATAAAGGTATTAACCATTAAATCAGTACGAATTCAGTAGGTCAACACTGATATTAGATGTACTCTGGTTGGAAATGACAGCTGGATTTGGGTCATAAGCTATGCCAGTTCATACTGAGTCATTTTGCCCCTCTGAAGCACTTTGGGGATGGGACCTACAGAGCAGGCCCCACCCCATTTACCTTCCAAGTGCTGAGGAAGTTTTGCAAGACACTTCCTCGGCAAAAACGGAAATGTAAGTGGGTGTTTGGGTAGCTCCAACTAAGCTACCCGCATTTTTGGGCCCTTACCCCATGTGATTGGGGAAAAGGACAATGTGGCAACATGCGTTGCCACCCTTTCTCCAATCTGATGGGGACAGGGCCTTAAAGTATGGGTAGTGCCTTGTCCCATTGTCCCCGTCTGATGGGGGAAAGAGGTAGGGTGCATGGAGTGCCATGAAGCAGCCCGCACACCTGCCATTTCACCAACGACAAAAACAGGAACACCAGAGCAAATCATTCCCTAACTGAAAAAAGGAAGCCTTTGGAAGAGAGCTGCAATAGATTCAAGAAATCACTATAAACAGACTCCTCATGGAATTAGTGGATGTGGAGGCAAAACCCAGGAAGCTCTATTTCAAGAATGTAAACTTGGATTGATCTGGACTGCACGGCCCCAGGGGACGTGTGAAGAGGCCCTTAGTTTGAAAGGCTTGTGAGGAAAAACCCAATTACAGCTCAAAAGTTTACATGCTTTTGGATGTTCATATGCTCTTGATTAAAAAAAATCTACATCTATTGATTAAAACTGCCATCATTTCCTCCCTTTTTCTACACCAGAATAGCAACCTTGCACAAGTAAATGTGTTACTTGCTATATTACCTACCTACTATACAAGCCAAAAAAAATAGGTTGCCTATAAGTGTATCTACATTGTAGAATTAATGCAGTTTGACACCAACTTTAACTATCAGGACTCAGTGCTTGGTTTCTGCACTTTTTACCATCTTAGGGCTCCTCCAGGTCAATCCAAGTTTACATTCTTGAAATAGAGCTTCCTGGGTTTTGCCTCCACATCCACTAATTCCATGTTTATAGTGATTTCTTGAATCTATTGCAGTTCTCTTCCAAAGGCTTCCTTATTTTTCAGCTAGGGAATGATTAGCTATGGTGTTCCTGTTTTTGAAGGACAAATGTTCTCACCTTTTTTTTAAAGTTAATAGTTATATTTATAGTGTGAAAGTGCCATTTCATTGATGCATTATAGCACTATAACTCGCTAAAAATTAAAAGAAGAAGAAAAGGGAACATACTGTTCTGATATGTCTTACAATTAAAAAGAAAACACTAGGGTGAGAATAAAATTTTGTAACTGTTCTCTAAAATTGCTAGAAAAAAAAAGTCCAGGACAAAAGAAATGTCACATGGATATTTTTGAAAACCCTGAGAACTATGGAAAGAAATGCTGTAGCCTCCCACATTTTCCCTCTTTGGAACAGCCCTTAGTCACCTTCCTCTGAGTTGATCCAGATAATAAGCAGATTACAAATGGGTGAGGGAGGGTTACGTGCAAAATGCTCAGACTTTCTTCTTGCAATTCACTATTGTTTTCTCTTAGATAGGCAGAGGTCCTTCTCATATGTTCAGCATGGAAACACATTGGGCTTAGCATAGAAAGCAAGCAACCTGGCAAAGGAAAGACCAAGTCCTCTTCCCTGAGACAGTTGTGTTTCTAGCTTTTCACTTCCCTGTTTTTTACTCATCAGAGAGTCTGGTAAATGAGGAATGGAGTGTTCTGCCTCTCCTCTGAATAATAACAGGTGGGTAAAATGCAATTGCAAGCTAGGAATATGAGTGTGACTGTCTGCACATACAAGCAATTTACAGTGCTGACACCTATAAGCCCAGACTTACCACAGCGTGTGTGTGTGTGTGTGTGTGTGTGTGTGTAATGAAAATTCTATTTGTAAATTATCAGAGGGGTTATCTAGATTCATTTTGAAAATTACATTTATTGCCACATATGATTATTCAGATGCAAGATACATTTCAGATTTCAGTCACAGTTATTTTGATATTAGAGGCACAAACAATCACAACTGAAAGGACCAGCTAGTTCCCAGATAGATTTAGATATACCTAAACAGCAAGGAGTTTTAAGAACAATTCGTTTTCTCTTATATATTCTTTGTCTTCTATTGTGAAGCTGCAAACAGTTCGGTTATCCTCAGCTCTATTTTGTAGGGGTATGGGGTTAGGAAAAAATATATTTTAATTTTTGAAGAGAGACTATAACTTTGTGTGCTGAAGGTCCCATGTACGGTATCTGAGGATCTATGTCTAAAACCTCAGAGAACTGCTGCCAGTTTGTGTGGTAGATAATTTTGAGCTAGATGGAACAGGGTAAAGCTAGATAGCTTCTTGTCTAGGAAACCAAACCCATTCAGTTTTTAGGAGGATTCAAAAACAATGATGATAGAACCTCTTAGGCACATTTGTTCATCTGAAACTCCATTGTCCTATTCTAATAATCCCTCTATCTGGAAGTTGTTTTATGTGGAGGAATTTACAACATTTGGAGTCAACTCCTGCAGCATGCCAGGGCCGGTTGTATCATTAAACAGAAGAAGGCAGTAGCTACAGGCCCTACTTGAATCAACCACTGGCTAGTTCTCCTAAGGTTTCCAGGAAACTGTGCCCACGATTGGTAGAGAGACCACATGAGTCATGTGATCCACCCTATCCCCTCCCTATACAAACTGACTGTGCAGACGTCATTGATACTATGTATATGTTTAACTGTTAGAGTGTATGTTTATGTTTATAACAGTAGCTAAGACTAGAGTTATCTAGTTTGAACCAACAGGGAGCGTTGCCAAGGAAACCAGGCAGGCTAGCTCAGAGAGTGAGAAGTGGGCGGAGCCAAGGAGGAGAAGTTATCTGCGTCTTTGGAAAAGGGGCAGTGTGAGTCTGAGAGAGTTGGAGTCAGTCAATGTGTGAGAGTGGAGGCTTGAAAAGCCTGGGAGAGAGGTGTGTGTGGATAGCTAGAAGTTTTTCAGTCTAGGAGGGCAGAAGGGAGAAACCTAACCAGTTTCTTTAGTTAAAGTAGACTAAAGGAAGCTTGTAAGATCGCTAGTCGAGAAAGGATTAGAGATCAGATATTTGATCAAGGAAAGATCAAATGAGAAGGCTATTCATATTAGGAAACATTGTTCACCAAAGTGCTTCGCCTCAGTAAGATGTAATCACGAGCTGTTTCATCTAGAAAAGGACTATATTACTAACCAAGTTATATTCAAAGTTCTATAAGTTATTTAACAGCCTGCAACCATAAGCTTTGTACTCAATAAACTTGTTAACTTTTGTTGAAGACCGTCTCATCTCCATTAATCTGCATTTGTAGAGCCAGATCTCATCAGTGATACCTTAAATACCTCACGTTGGTGGCAGTTACCTTAATTTACAAACAATAATTGGCCTCCTCTATAACAAATTCTTATCAACAATAGAGGCCTGAGATTAATTCCCTCTATAATCATCCATACCTGTAAAACAGGTGCGTGCACCTGTACAATTGGTGGCAGCCCTCTACAAATTGGCTCGAGACTTCTACAATTGGTGACAGTGGGATCTTTAAAGTAAAAAATCCCTATGCCCTGTCTATTGTTGGGTTTGCACCTGTACAATTGGCTAGCATCTGTACACTGACCTATCTCAAAACCATTGCTGCTAGTGTTAGAAGCTGCTAGTTCAATTGGCTTGTGTGTGTAAAGTGGGGAAGGAGCACAATTACAACCTTCACTCAAGCAGCAAAATGTCTTGTCCCAACCCTGCAACACAGCAAATACTTGGAGGAAAATACAGTCAACCTTCCAAATCTGCTGTGGTTTGAGGCCCCAGTGAAAGTTTAAAAGCACAATGAAATTGCTCTTTTTACACAGGTCTTCCAGCATTACTATGACCAACTTCCACTGGAAGCTGACCATATAATTGCATTGGAAGACCTAGAGATATCTAGAGAGTTATCTAGCTCCTCCAGCTTGATTGGGGGAGTGGACAGTACAGGCACTTTGGAGGACCTGTGAATTCATAGACATTCATAGAAATAACATTTTAAATAAAATATGTGAATGATCAATTTTGCAAAAGTCAAAACCACAAATGTGGAGGGGAAACTGCATTATCGTTGGCTAATATGCAATTTCTGTTGTGAATCTGCAGCCAGCTTGTTGGTGCCTCCCACCCAATGTATTTTCAGCTTGAAGTCTGAAGATGTAACATTCTTTTGATTTGGTATGCAAGAGAGTGAAGTTAGACCTCTTCTTAAATTCTTTCCAATCAACCCATGTCTATGCCACAGAAGTGCAAGGAAACACCAAATGTTGAAAACCAAACATTTGGGAGATGAATGGAAAATCATCAGATAAACTAGAGGAGGAGTATGGAGCACATTAGTACAAAAGGGAAATCAATCTCTCATACAGCATCATAACATTTAGCAAACAACTGTGCAGTGCCTTGTTATTGTTTTCCTTATGTCCCAAACAACATCACAATGGGAGGCAAAAGTAGGGAGGATCAAATGATGTTGAATCCAATGGAAAGGCACAGTGTTGCTGCTGGTGCTAAAAATTCCAGGAAAACAACTGCACAGAATTGCCCAGAACAAGAGGGATTACATTTGCAGCTCATCCTGGATTATTGTTCTGCGGAGTCAAGAAGGGCTGGCTGTTTTACTTTGAAAATCTATATTTTCACAATGCTTTCTTGAACCTAATTGCTTTTTCTCTCTTGCTGTGCTCTTTATGGATTGACATACTGAGCAAAGGGAAATCAACAGCTTTCACAGACGCTTCCCTGAGGCGATTTCATATGCTCTCCAAGTATTCACAGCTTTCCAAGCTTGCTACAGTGATGGCCACGGCAGCAAGTCCAAGCTGGGGCTTAGTGGGGACTATCAAATGCAGTGGCCCAGCCAAGGAGAGACAGCTGCAGGAACTCCTGTCATTCTGCTTGTTCCCTTTCATGCCAAAACCATGTTGCTTGATTTGACACTGCTCATTGCCCAGAGCCCACCATGGGACATTTTGCGGCTGGGCTTGCTGACACATTAAAGAGCTCTTACAAATATACATTAGCTCACAGAGAATCAGCAGAACAAGTAAATTGTCTTCTTATATCTTGGCATTTCTCCAGCAAAAATATAACCAGGCAGAAGTTGTTCTGGGAAGACAAAGACAAGGCAAATGTGAGTCAGCCTATGTCATCCCATTGCCATGATTCACAGAAGAGATGGTATGAGATGGGCACTCCTATATGAATGAGTTTGACCTTGAGTCGCAATTAAATCAATACTTCCAAAGCTCAAGCACTCACAATTTTTATTCCAATTGTGTTTTGTAAATTGGCGTGTTTCCCCCAATTTCACAAAGCTTCCATGCAAAAAAATAGCAATAGAACATAGAACAATTATTAACAAATGGGAACCCACTACATATCATAATTAAAAATGCCTAGAACTATTGTACTAGAATCAAACTTAAAATTCATTATTTCTTTGGGCTTTTTAAGGTTTTCTCTTAAATTGTCAATTTATTAAAATCCTGAAACCTCCAGATGTAATGTATACTGAGATTATCACTCATATTCCTAAGTGGTTCCTGTGTAAGATTTTATGTTATGTGTTATGACAGGAGAAGAAAACAATTGCTTTTGCCATATCACAGTAACACAATAAACACCTGGAAGTATTTCTAAGGAAGTAGACTTACAATGTTATCACAGCATGGCTTTAAAGCAGGTAGCCCCACATTTCTGTCACCTGCAGAATTCTGAGAAATGTAGAGCGGGGCCTTTTGAATTCTCAGCTACAGAGGTCCTCACCTTCCCAAACTACATTTCCCAGAATTTTGCAGGTGGCAGAAATGCAGAGCTGTCCTCTTTAAAACTCTGGTGTGATAACATGATTAAGGTGCATCTACTCTAGAATTCATAGAGTTTGAATGTACTTTTACTGCCATAGCTCAATGCTATAGGATCCTGAGATTTGTAGTTTGGTGAGGCACAAGCACTCTCTGGTAGAGGCTTGTATTATTATTATTAGTGTTCATACAATATATTATAATTATTAGAATAGCACAATATTAGTATTATATATTACTATATGGTACTATACAACTGTTCTGCAATATTATTAGTAATATTACACGCAATATATAATATACCATTATTGTCATATTATTATTATTATATTACATTATAATATTATCAATATTATACGTATATGTGTGTGTGTGTGTGTGTGTGTGTGTGTATTGCTAGCACAGCACAATATTAGTACTATATATTGTATTATATATTAGTATTCTATATTGTTGCTGCGGGGAGGGGCTTCCAACTGATGACCCAGGAGACATGGTGGAACTGCCTTCCTGGCTCCCTTCTTCACTCTGTTTCATGTCTAACATTTCTAGATCTCTGAATTCTACACCCTTGGTGATGGTTACAAAAGAAACCAAACTGCACAGACATTTCAAGGTTCACAACATAATTTGTATTATGCTCCTGGCAGTGACACTGGGAAAACTAAGGCCAAGAAGCCAACAAATGGCAAATATCATTATCTGATAAGGGAGGAATGTGTTTATACTTACTTAATACAAATAAGGGAAATGGCTGTTTATTTTTATCCCTTACTAAATCTAGCTACAGCTGCAGGTGTAGTCACTAAAAGTACGGTTTAAATGGGTTTCTAATTTTGAATTTGTTTTAATGTTTTTAACTGGGATTTTTTAGTACTGTCTATATTTAATCCTGTTTTAATGTTTGTATATTTTAAATTGTTATGATGATGCTTTTATGTTATGCCGCTTTGAGTCCTCTTCGGGGGAGATAAAGGGGGTATAAATAAATATAATATTGATGGTGATGGTGATGATTGGATGAGATCTCCTTGGGAAGGTGAAACCAGTCACTGCTGAAATTTTCTTTTAAATCCAGAGGACCTTTTGATGAGACAATATGGGGCTTATCACTGCCGCACAGCCAAGAGCTGGATTCTATCGACCAGGTTTCATGTCTTTTCCCAATTTTGAAATCCTTCAGGGCAGCCTAAGGAAATTTATCTGCATGAAAATCCAATATACAACACCCTGTAGCTCAGTTAGCCTTAATGTTTAGTAAGCATGTTTTGACTTGCAGTCCAAATTCATTTGAGCTGGGGGCGGGGATGATGGAGAGAAGAATCAATCAGATTTTAAGACCCAGAGGGGCCCAATAGGCCAGAACAGGGGGATTATATAATAGAAAACAACAAATGGTGGTTGAATTTCATGACAGTAATATTATGAAGAGGCAGTTCATTGCTTACTTGATGTCATCACAGGAAAAGGTGAGATGGGACAGAAGAACATCAGCTTGTGCTTCCAATTGAAAGAAAGGGGGACACTACCTCATCTCCTGGGCCGGTTGTGTGGCTTGATGTCATCTGAGTTTTAATCTGCAGCACTCAAATCACCTAAACCTTCAAAAGTGTGAGATTTCAACTCCAAAGATGTAAAAATAGAGGAGATGCCATTCAGCATGAAGGATCAAGCTTGGGCAGGCTGGACAAATCCATAAGCATCCACTTACCAAGTGGCTGTAGAGCAGTATGTTGCAATAGAGCAGTGGTTCTCAACCCGTGGTCCCCAGGTGTTTTGGCCTACAACTCCCAGAAATCCCAGCCAGTTTACCAGCTTTTGGGGTTTGGGTTGGGGTTGAAGGCTAAAACATCTGGGGACCCACAGGCTGATAACCACCACAATAGATACTAGGTGCACTTCATCGTTTCAGTTTCCTTGATTTTTTTTTTCATTGGATGGACATTCCCATCTTGGAAACATTATTTTTCTGGATTACAACTTTCAGAATCCTGCAGTTAATATATGTGTTGTGAAGATTATTAGGATTTGGCCACAGCATCCTAAGGGAAATCACCACCTAACAGATTAGTGATATTCATTTCTTCTCCTTCTGAATCAGAATTATTGATAGGTTTTACATTTATTTAGAACCACTCAGAATAGTGAAAGTGGAACCTTACTTCTTTAGCTATTTCAAGGAGAAAGCCACCAGTTGCTGCATCACACTTCTTTTATTATTCCTCACCTCTTTCCCATTTGCAATGTCCCCTTCCTGCAGGCCCAAAGAAATGGGAAGCCATTGCTGTGGTAAAAACAGAAGTAACACTGCAAATCCATGTTTTGCGTAAAAACACACGCAGATCTCAAAAGTACCACCAAAAGGTACACAGTATAAGAGTTGCCAACTGTCACAACTTCTAGTGACAGATTTTAAACGAATGTTATTTCATTTTTTTCAAAAGAAAGAAAGAAAAAGACCCTCACACAGCTCATCCAAGTGCTGACAAGTCTTAACAGGGCTCATTTTCCAGTGACAAAAATAACTTCTTTTTTTTTTCAAAATTCACAGAAGGGCTCTCGCCTACACACAATGCACCAAGTAAAACCTGGGGGAGAAAATATAAAATGCATTTTGTAAATGTAAATGCATATCATAGTCTTTAAAGACATTTACCCTCTTTCTTTATGGTAAATCCCCATCTGGGGTACCAATACAGAGATGACCACTTTGAAAGGGCTTGAAATTGAAGGAAAGCGAGCTGAGTGGAGGAGGCAGCCATTCGCACATTGCCAAAACGTTCCCAATGACTTCCTTCAGATAACAGATGTCACCTCCTTGCTATAAAAACTGAGTGATACTCAGTGGGAAATTAAGAAAGCAAGCAAGTTGATTCAGCATCGTGTGACAGTTCAGTCACTTATGCAGCTGCCCTCTGCATATGTTAACAGACCTGTATTTCACAGTCCACCTAAAAGATGCTTAAGGTGAAACCCCAAATGCCACTTTTGTCTCCTGTGCCTGGGGCCTGTAGACAACCCTCTGTCTACTACCAGTACACAGGAAAACAGTCCTCCAAACAATGGTTGTAGCCAGGCCCGTAGCCAGGATCTCGTTTTGGGGGGGGGGGGGGCTGAATTTTTTTCAGGGGGTTTCAGGGGGGGTGAGTTTCGGGGGGGCTGAGTCTGAGTGAAAGAGGGTCTAGCCTAGCAAACCTTTTGTATCATTACCCCAATACCCCATGCATATGGGATATATTGAGTATGGTGATCAGATCATGATATGAATAAACATAACAGTTTAAATAATGCACCAGTAAGGCCTTTTCGCGAACCACCATGAGAATTTCGGGGGGGGGGCCTGAAGCCCCTCAAGCCCCCCCTCCCGGCTACATGCCTGCTTGTAGCCATTCAGAAGCAGACTTTGGTGGCCAGGTTCCATATGGTAGATAGCTTTCATTAAACTACTCTAAGGGCCCTTCCACACAGGCCTATATCCCAGAATATCAAGGCGGAACATCCCACATTATCTGGGTGTGGAGTCAGATAACCCAGTTCAAAGCAGATATTGTGAAATTTTCTGCCTTGATATTCTGGGTTGTAGGGCTGTGTGGAAGGCCCTTAAAGAGTCAATTCTGCATTTTAAAATGATAGAGTTAGGCTCTGAATATAAACTCTGTCTGTGAGTGTATATACAGTATATTCTGGCGTATAAGACTACTTTTTAACCCAAGAAAATCTTCTCAAAAGTCAGGGGTCGTCTTATACGCGGCTGTAGTCTTATGCATGGGAGTCGTCTTAACTCTATATTTTAACTGGAAAAGTTGGGGGTCGTCTTATGCACCCAGTCGTCTTATATGCCGGAATATACGGTATATCAAAAATAGCAAATCACTGAAATCAATTATTCAGATTAACACTATACAGCTTGCACTATAAATAGCAACACAGGAGAAGGTCTATAGGACACAAAGCATGTATTGACAGAGATGATGGTCCAATGTCTCATTTGATTCTTAATTTAAACAGAAGCTGGATGCATTTAGACTAGCAGATTTCATCAATGGCCTATGTTGTTGTTTGTTGATTCATGCTTATATGTTTTATTTAACTGTATTTTTAATTGTTTTCCTTTTATGTTCTGTTTTGAAGCACAATGACGGGATACAATAATAAGGTTGTTATTATTATTATGTAAATCATATATTGTTCAATATTTCTTAAACAAAAGACAATGTTATACAAATTTATTACAAATTAAAATTGCCTCTGATGAAGACTACGAAGTCAAAACACATCTGTCTTCTGTTTAAATCAGGGAGCCTCAAACTTTTTAAGAAGAGAGCCGGTTCATGATTCCTCAGACTGTTGGGAGACTGAACAATAGTTTGAAAAAAAAATTAACAAATCCATATGCACACTGCACATATCTTACTTTTAGTGTAAAAAAAATGAAAAAACAATACAATATTTAAAATGAAGAACAATTTTAACCAACATAAACTTACCAGTATTTCAGGGGAAAGCGTGAGCCTGCTTTTGGCTGATGAAATAGTCAAGTTAATTAAAGTTCTTGTTGTTGTGTGCCTTCAAGTTGTTTCAGACTTAGGGCAACACTAAGTTTAAATTAAGGGTGGAGGCCCAGTCAATGAACTTGGAGGGCTGCATTCAGCCTGCGGGCTTTAGATTGCGGACCCCTGGCTTAAATGAAGAATCAGCTAAGAAGTTAGATCATCTATGCATGTCCTACGAACTTTTTCCATATTGCTATTTATTGTGAGGACTATGTAATTTGAATAACTGATTTTAGTGATTTATTGTATAATTATATATTTCTGCACACACATATTGTATATTCATATCCAATTTTTTGTTTACCTTTTACCATTTCAGTAAATTAGGACTTCTCTCTTACTTTAGTCCTGTGTTGAAAATGTAGCTGAGAGAAAATGGATGCCCATTAGGCAGATGTTTCCTCACATGATCAGTGGGGTATCACCAGCCTTGGGATAAGAGCCTGTGTCTGCCTTTTCCTCACATGATGCATTCTGAAGTCACTCTGTTTTAATGTGGAACATGATATTTAAGCCATCTTTGCTCAAGTGCTATAGTGCAGTGCTAGAACTGTTTCTGAAGTCTTTTCAAAAGTTTAACCCTATAATCACACTTTAACTGCCAGGTTAAAGTGTGATTATAGGATTATAGGATTTCCTAATTAGGAATGGGACAATTCCTAATTAGGAAATCAAAAAAAACCTTTCCTTTTAGAATTCCATGGGATGGAAGTTAAAATGGAATCATACCATTATAGTGTGGTATGAAAGGGGCATAGGGTTCCAAGCAGGTCTAGACAAAAACCGAACCCTTGGAAGAGATTCTGCCAATGAGTGTAAACAACAGTACTGGGCTAGTTGTAACAATAGTCAGATTTGATGTGAAACAACATGCTATAGTCTAACAATCTTGTTGTTGTTTTTACCAAGAGTAGGCAGCTTTGGCAGCTCTGGGAGCCAATGTTCATTCCTGTAGACTACACCTTTGCTCAAAATGTGTTTTTCTGTGTTTCCTCCACCAGGCCAGAGAGTTCATTTCCACTTCTACAAACTCTAAAAAAGGCCTAAAGACTTGAAATTGCTTTAAACAATTGCTTCTGGTAGCTGCAAATCTGCATATTGGGAGGAAAGGAAGTTTCTTCTTTAGAGAACCCAAGACTACAAAGCACCACATGTAAGCTCACATTGCCTAGCCCTGGTTTACATACTTGTCAATTGTAGGAAAAAACAGAATGCCTGAAACAGAATACCTCTAGAACATGGCCATACAGCCCAAAAAAAACCTACAACCCAGAATGCCTGGTTTTTCTAAGGTTTGTAGATTCCTATTCAAATGGTTACAGACTCTTTGAATGGGAAAATGTTGCCACTTATGAAATGTGAGATCATCAGAACTGTTTTGCTGGACCAGACTGCTGGCTCTTCTTATACATAACATCTCCCATGGCACCAGTCCGATGTTTCTGCACACAGCCCATGTTGGTTATTCCATATTTTTCAGTTAATATTTGACACTCTGCTTTTGAATATGGTTTTATTTTGCTGTCATGACTAATGGCTATTAGTAGACTCATCCACTTGCATTTACCTAATCTCCTTCCAAAGCTAGTACTACTAAGCTAGTAGTCATCACCACCTTTGTAGCAATTAATTCCACAAATTAATTATGCACTGCATGAACAAATCCTGGAAGCAACTGCTGCCAGAGTGTAACAACAGTAGGTTTCTGATTAACTGTTTCTGGCCTAATCATATGTATGCACCATTCCCATGTTCTGTTGTCAAACATAAACTCTTGTATGGAAGCATCATGTGCTAACTCTCCTATATCCTAAACTGAAATATAAGCACATAAGAGATACCTATAGCCTTCCTGAGATTACAAAATAGCACCCATATGGTGGAGGAAGCTTCATAACAGCAGCAGCTTCTTTTCATGTCCGATGTGAGTCATTGTGCGTATGTCAGTGGCTAAGTAAATAGATGGGCAATCATTTCTCTCTGCATTTCCGTAACAGCTGGCAACTCCCATGTCAGTGAGGTGCTGAATTCACACTGGGATTTAGTCTGAACTTTATAGATGTCCAAGGGGCTGAACTTATTTTGAGGACAGGCTACAGCTATTTGGATAGTTCTGTCAAGTTTAGACTAAAATGCTGAGTGGATACACCACTAGTTACGTACATGGAATCCACCAGCCCTATACCGCTACAGGTACATGGACAGCTATGTAAACATTGCTCAGTTTTCAAGATTTGCCTGTTCATGTAGACCATGTAATACTTGTGGACCTTTTACTCATGCCCACATTCACAAGTTGTTTGGCATTATACGCATTTAGGATGAAATGTTCACACTGTTCAAGATCAGTATTCTATTTCCGATAAAAATAACCATCCCAAGTCTTCTGCACCACCACCCACATGCAATGAAGTTACCTGGAGGGGGAAGCTGCAGCCTTAAGGGAAAGCAGAACCCGCAGACATTTTCTCCAGAGCAAAAAAAAAGTTACATAAATGAAGGCTTATTTGTGGTCAGCAAACAAAGCAACTCCTCTTCCTCAGAAGTTGTGCCTGAATACCTTTAGCACTTGGAGTGTGATTGGTTTGATCTTTGAAGACAAGCTATTCCATATAAGTGCTTTCCCCTTAGCTCCTGAATTGCCTGAAAAGGACACCTTCTCTGCATTGTATCTCATCTTAACATGCAAGGGTGCATTGATCACCCTGCCAAGTGGTTACATGTTGCAATGAAGAATCAATAGGAAGGTGCTGTCCCTACAACTGGTCAAGCACTCATAAGTAAGAAATAATAGGTACTGCATAGTTTCCCAACATAGATGTATGCCAAAGGATGGGAACAAAAGTGGGATGAAAAAGAATTGGAATAAAGTTGGTTCTGTCCAACTGATATCCCACTCAACTAAGCACCGAATGTTAATGGAGATGGGTAGAATGAGACTAGCCTATTCTTTCTGTGTTCCTTTCCCTCCCTACTTGCACATCATTTATATGCAGGAGGTCCCAGGTTCAATCCTTGGTATTTTGAGGTAGGGTAGAATAGTTTCCTGCCAGGCGTTGTCAGCAGTCCTGGGATAGATAGTTCAAAGGTCCAACTCAGTATCAGGCAGCTGCCTATGTTCATATAATACTGAGTGGCTATGATAAGCTGCACCTTTTTAAGGCTGCGTTTGGCAACACACATACACACACACACAAGTTAGATGCGGTTTGACATCATCCGGGTGTTCAGTTTCCGGAAGAAAGAGCGCAGCTTGCAGATCTTGCACTTCTTCTTCCGCTTCTTGTTTTTCACTTTCCCATGCCCTGGCTCCCACACATCTTCTTCACCCGTTGCCCAAGGTCCCCAGGCACCACCGTTGAAGTCTGGATGAGCGCGAGGATTTTCTGCTGGATACCTGACAGGGATAGCTGTCTGGTTGTAGTGAACCAGTCTGAGGAGGAGAGCCCGGACAACATCAGGACGCTGCTCTGAAAGATCATAGCGCTCATAGGGATCAGCAGTAATGTTGAAAAGCCAGACAGACTTCCGTATGCCACCTGTCATGCGCTCCAGGTTCCACCAGCTCCCAGGGAAGGTGGCTAGAGTCTGTGGTGGGATCCAGTCGCTGTAACCTGGGTCTCCAGTCAAGAGCTTCCAGTCCCCTACCCGTACAGAGGCTTGAACTGCTGTGTTCCAGATGCCAAACCCACTTTCTAAGGACCCATATTTGGCATGGTTATAAAGGGGATCAATGTTATGCAGGATTTCAGTCCGTGGAGATTCTTTTCCCTCACTGATGGCTGGCCACACATTGTAACCATCCAAATTATCTGCTTCAGACACATTGCCCCGAGCCAGGGTCACTAGAGTTGGGTACCAGTCTGTTATGTGAATAAGTGCCCTGCTAATTCTCCGTTTGTGTTTAATCAATGGGCTATGGACAAACCCAATGCCACGGACTCCTCCTTCCCAGTAGGTCCCTTTGCGGCCTCGCAGAGGCCAGTTGCTTCCCCCAGAGAAGGTTTGCCCACCATTGTCTGTGGAGAAGACAATCACGCTGTTGTCATAGTACCCATATTTCTTCAGTGCCCAAGTGATGTTCTTCACAGCTTCATCCATGCACGTGACCATGGCTGCATATTTGCGTCGTGCCACATTGCCCATGGAACGATAGCGATAGATGTACTCTTTTGGCGACTGTAATGGGGTATGTACAGCTTGGAATGCTATATAGATAAATATGGGTTCCTTGGGGTTGTGGGTGGCCAGAATTTTGTTGACGCGCTGAGCATAAAGGAAGGTGGAATATTTGCCACTCTGTTCCCAGGCCACATTTTCACCATCATGAAGATCATAGCCACATACTCCAGGCCCGTCACAGTTGTCATAGGTATAATAATCCACATTTCCAGTCAATGAGCCCAAGAAGGTGTCAAACCCCCTGCGGGTCGGCAGGCATTCTTTTCGATAGAAACCTAAGTGCCACTTCCCTACCATGTGTGTAGAGTAGCCAGCTTCCTGTAGCTTCTGGGGAAGCGTGACTTGGTTCAAGGGCAGGCAATTTGGCTGCTGAGGACGGATGATAGAGTGCTGAAGGCCTGTATGGATTTGGTACCTAGTAAGAGAAGAAGGAAGGCAGAAAGAGCATCATGAGTTGCAATAACTTACAGATGATAATTTAGCATGATTTTAGAAGAAGTGCTCCCACAAGTGGTGAAATAATAACACCACAAGTAACAACAATAATGAATTTAGATTTCACCTTTTTCCAGTGCTGTGACTCTAATGTACTTACAGAAATTGAAATAGATTCAGTTGAGAGCTATGTGTATTTCTCAAGAGTATATTATTTTCCTCATCTTTTTATCTTCAGTCCTGCCAGCACAAGGGTTTAACCCACTGCGTCACCAGGGGCTCCAGTTTTGTCAGCTAGAGATAGGCGAAGTCACAGGTACCAAACCCTTGGTTAAGAGCGACATATAATGAAAGACATATGTGTGTTCATTTTTCAGCTGCACCACAAGTCTACAGTACATACTAGACAGGCATGCTTTCCTACTTTCCCTTTGCTCCATATCCTTCCCTCAACTCCAGCTGCCTTAATCTTTATCTCCCTTTGAGAAAATTTAGTAATGTGTTGGGATACTTTAGCTTAGATGTGAAGCATTTGGTTACCTTCCCTGAGCCAGTAATTGTAAAAGCAACCGGAAAAATGATAGAACAAGCAGGAAAGGAATAAATTTTGGCAATCTGGTGTGTTTTACACAGAAAAAAAGAACAAACCATTAACTCCTCTTTAATATGTCTCAGTGAGAGGCATCATTCTAACTGTTTCTGGAAATCAATGGTGATCTCTCAAAAGGATGATAATGTTATTTCTACCATAAAATATTTACACTGGTATTATATCAATTTCCAGTATTTATTTATTAAAATATTTATATCCTACCCTGTATCACAAGATCTCAGTTTCATAAATATAGATAAAAATTTAGATGTCTCCTGGGCAACTGTTCAAGATCATCCTTAAAGGTCACATCATTAGGAAGAGCAGTTTCTAATTTCAGATCATGTAATGTTTCCTTTTCAGGTTCAAAAAAAATGTTTCCAGCATGGCAATTTTTTTAAAAGCCAGATATTGGTTTTCTAAGAGGTTGGGTTCAGGCTGCAAGGCAAGCAGAGCTGCACTCCTAACCCAATAAAGCACACAAGGACACTATAGGGCTACTTCTGGCCATTTACTGATGGTTGGGCAGCAGCTTCCAGAGACATTATTTCTTACATGAAAGTCTCCAGAATGACTTAGAGGAGAATTCTATGATTCTATAGAAGATAGCAGGACCCATCTGGCTAGGGAATCTAGCTAGGGACATTTCAGAAGTGTTACTTTGAAAAGGTTCACAAGCCTTCTTACTAGAAACCTTTTAATCACTTTCCATAAGGAATCAAGGTAGGGTGGGGGACATTCTGTCCAGAAGTTGGTTCTGGGGGTAAGACTGGATAGATTCTAAGGTTGCCTTTGTCTGCGTCTGCCTCCTTCACTCCCTTTCTCCTTCCTATAGGGCAGTGGTTGCCAACCTTTTTTTGACCAGGGACCACTTGACCAGGGACCATTTTCCAAAAAAGATCGGAATCAGTCTTTGGTCAACTTTACATTCACTTTGGTTATTTGGGGTAGTGAATCAGAAAACTGCATTGGAAAGACAACATCAGATCTAGTTTCTGATACAGAACATATGCTATCCTGTAGTTGCCATCTGCTTGCCCAAAGAAAACCGTATTTCATAAGCCTCAACACTATAAGAGGATTTTGTGAGACCAGTCGCTTTCATTGCAACAGTGTAGTAATGGTGAGGCCGTGGACTATATTTTAGTTCTTGCGGGCCACTGATGGTCCACGGACTACAGGTTGGGAACCACTGCAGTGGGGCAACAGGCAGATATAGACAACCATATGATTGATTTAAGTCTTGTTTTCTTTTGTTTTAGTCTATTGCTTTACTTTAGGATCTTTCCCAAAACAAGCTGGTTCTTTTTGTGCTCTGTTGTGAGGGAAATGGGGGGGGGGGGGATCCAAATGCACAAAGGTCACATGGGATACAGAATCATGCAATTATTAGAGTGATGGACTATGATTTGCAAGTTCAAGTCCTTCTAATATCATGAAATGGGATCCAGTTAATCTCTCACAATGTTAGCTAACTCATGGGGTTATTATGAAGATAAAGTAGAGAGGGGAAACATGTCCTCACTTCACAAATAAAATTTAAAGGAAATGAAAAGGACTACATGTGTTTCATGGGTTCAGTTGTGGTGCTCATCCAGCAGAACCTGTTATCTGCTCAGAAGCAAGACCCCAAAGTTAAGTGGGAAATTGTCATTGTGCTCATCATACACCTTCAAGTCAACTCAGACTCATGTAACTCTGTCATTGGGTTTTGTTGGCAAGATTTGCTTAGTGGGAGGTGGTCATTGCCTTCTTTGAGGTTGAGAGATTGTGATTTGCCCAAGACCATCCAATGAGTTTTCTTGGCCAAGAGGAGTTTGAACCCTGGTATCCCAGAGTCCTAGCCCAACACTTAAACCACTATGCTATGTTTTGCACACCTAATAAACATGCTTATCTTGTTGAAAAGCACCGTGTTGTTCATTCTAGAGGATTTAATATCAGGTAAAACAAAAAACAAACAAACGCACACATAGACACACACACAAAAGACCACCAGGTTCAAGTCTAAATTAACCTATCATCTGAAATCCATTAAAAGAGCTCTAATTCCTTAAAAGTGTTTGCTATCAAAAATATAATTACTATGCAAATCTTATACATTTTTAAAACGTCATGTACACTTTCACTGTTCTCTTTATAGTCTTCTATGTGAACTATGAATTCCTATGGAATACCGATGTAACAATATGTGTGGGACAGGGCCATGTTATTTCTGCATCACCACCAAATACTCTTTCTCTCTATACACACACACACACATACATATCAGTCGGAAATGACTGAATGAATGAACAACAACAAATATTCCATTTCCCAAGATTATGCATTCAGCCCAAAAGAAAGAGAGAGAAAATGTATGAAGTAGAATTTTATGCATACAGGCCCAGAGGTCTACTTCATAAGGTTCAATGGGATTTACTTCTAGATAAGGATGTACAGCAGTCAATGCTTTTCCCCTCCCCCACATCCCCTCCCTTTCCCTCTACGCCACACTGAAGGTAAAAGTAAAGGTTTCTCCTTGACAGTAAGTCTAGTATTTATTTATTTATTTATTTATTTATTTTATTTACTTTGCTTATATACCGCTGTATCTCAAGCCCGAAGGCGACTCACGGCGGTTCACAAACAGTAAAAACAGTAGAAACAGCAGTGGTTCCATACAACATATAACAATTGACTTAACACATTATCCATAAATTACCAATAAGCAGTTACAATGCACAATTATTACAAAAAACAACCGTACCCAATCTTCTCATCATCCAAGCGTAGTCCAGGTTCGTCGTCCATTGTTCCATTCCTATGTTCCATTACCAGATTGCACTAAATTACTCAAACGCCTGCACAAACATCCAGGTCTTCACCTTTTTGCGGAATACCATTAAAGATGGTGCTAGTCTAATGTCCGTAGGAAGGGCGTTCCACAGCCGAGGAGCCACCACCGAGAAGGCCCTATCTCTCGTCCCCGCCAGCCGAGCTTGAGAAGCAGGCGGGATCGAGAGCAGGGTCTCCCCGGAAGATCTCAAACTCCTGGTGGGTTCATAGGCAGAGATGTGGTCAGATAGGTAGCTTGGGCCGGAACCGTTTAGGGCATTACCTTCCTGCTGACACGGTACCTAATTGATCTACTCACATTTGAATGTTTTCGAACTGCTAAGTTGGCAGAAACTGGGGCTAACAACAGGAGTTAACCCTGCTCCCCAGATTCAAACCGCCAGCCTTTCAGTTAGCAAGTTCAGCAGCTCAGCGGTTTAACCCACTGCACCACCGGGAGCTTTTCACTAAAAATAACCTCACTACCTCCACCTTCTTTATTCTTCTTTCTTCCCCTTACGTTTTTTTTTTTGTGTGTGAAAAAAATTGAAAATATTCAATAAAAACATTTTTAAGGAGTATGCAGCAGTGGTGACTTCCATGTCAGTCTGGCAGTGAATCTGATCTGAGATTTAAGGGAATTATCCAAAATGTTGAATCCTTTGCCCCAAATTAGGTGCCGCCTCTTGGATAATTCATTCAAAATCTACAGTAATATGCAGTGTGGACCACCACTGCCATCAGTCAAAAGCAGGCAGATTGCATTGGACTGCTTGTCTTGTACATTGCCTCGAGAAGAGGTGAGTATCAAATAAAATTATTGCTATTATTATTACCCACTGGGAACCATATTGCCACTGAATTTGCCACCCTCACAGTTGCCTCCCAAATTCGACAACTATAGGATGAGCTCCCTCTGGTATGGGGCGACAAGCCTAGAGGAATACAGAAAGAAAACAAGGGCAGAACACACAGGAGAAAACAGGAAAATAAAAACGAGGCTTTGCTCGGGAGAGGAATCAAGCTGAAACACTTTTTTGGAACTGGGAAGAAATGCAGACTTGGGTTGCATCAATAATACTCCTTCAGCAAGGCAATATAATAGGCACCACTAAAATAGCCTTGAGGGCTACATATTGCCCATCCACTGATGTATAAGTTTCCTGTTGGAGTTACCTAAAAGAAGACTTTATGCTCTTTCCAGACTTGTTGCCTACGTGGACAATGTGTTCAACTTGCCAATTATTCACTCAAGTGATATTAAGTAATCTTATTGTACGTAGTCTGTGTTGTCTGCACAGTCACGCTCGCCAGATGCAGAAAGGATTTCCTGCTTTCCCGGGATTGCTGACTGTCCAACCTTCTGGAAACAGAACCACATGTAAGAAGTGCACAAGCCTACTTTCTAGAATAAAACCCCTATGACTCACACAGTAAGTCTGTTCTGTTCACTCTCTCAGCAAGACTGGGCACATCATCTATTCTCCAGTCCTGGAAGTCCTTTGCTTTTTAAGGAAAGGCCACCCTTGGCTCTGAAAGCTAGGAGTTTCCTGCTCTCTTTGGCCTGGAGTATATATTCTGGGAAGAGCATTGTGTTACTTCATTCTTTTTTTTTTTTCCTCCTGTGACTGGAAAGTGCTTGGATGACGAAATTTGGGAGGTTCCTTTACTTTTTGGCTCTTTGGCCCCTGGGAATTTGGCGTTTCATTATGTCTTAAGGAAATTGGTCATGGCAGAAATTCAACACAAACTATTTTATTATGATACAAGAAGTTTTAGGATTGAGCTGCATGGCTGTGTTTGGCAGCATAACTGCATGAGTGAACAAAGGAAGGTAGGATACGGGAAGGCATCTGTGATGTGCGGTTTAGAAAAGGCATCTGTGATGTGCTTATAGAGAAGGGTGTGTGTGACCTTTGGCAAGTCACAAACTCTCAATCCCAGGCAATGATTGATGAAGGCAATGGCAAACCTCTTTGGAATTGATCTTGCTAAGGAAGCCACGTGATAAGGTCTACTATAGGTAGGAAAAGACTTGCAGGCACACAATGGCAACAAATATTTGAAATTCTTCCACCAGAGTGCTTCTCTGGCATCTCCAATCAATCTACACATCCTAGGGTCCCAGGGATAATGGGATGGTAGCCCTGTCACTATGCAGTATAACTGGACCTTGGGATTCCTAGTCCAAAACAAGTCACAACACCTGGGTGGCTGGATTGAGGCCTGTAGGAGATTTAAGCACTTTAAAGAATTTGGTGCCCCCATATATATCTACTGTTCGTATTGATGTATAAACTAGTGGTGTGGGTAAGTCAAAGGCTAGCTTTGGGGCCAAATTATTGACTTTTATATAATCCTTGGATTAAGGATCATTTTGTGGAGGGAGGGGTGGAGTTGCCATTTCCCTATTTGAACAGCGTAAGGGTGTGTGCTCCTTTTGGGATCTCCCAGGATGGACTGCACTCTTGCCTTGCAACCCTTTACTCTTCCTTTTTTGAGAAAAGCTAAGGTACAGTACTTGCCCCCCCCCCCCGCCCCCGTGGTGTAGCGGGTTAAACTGCTGAGCTACTGAACTTGCTGACCCAAAGGTTGGTGGTTTGAATCTGGAGAGCAGGGTGAGTGCCCATTGTTAGCCCCAGCTTTTGCCAACTTAGCCGTTTGAAAACATACAAATGTGAATAGATCAATAGGTACCACTTCAGTGGGAAAGTAACAGTGCTCTGTGCAATCATGCTGGCCACATGACCCTGGAGGTGTCAACAGACAACACCAGCTCTTTGGCTTAGAAATGGAGATGAGCACCACATCCCAGAGTCAGACATGACTAGACTTCATGTCAGGGGAAACCTTTCTCTTTATTTAAGGTAGGGTACTCACACTGAGTACTGTACCTGAAAGTACTGTACCTGAAAGCAGATCCATGCTTTGGGGGTTGGTTTTGGGGGACTGCAATTCCTTGAGGTATTCATGAGCAGAGAGGGTAATTGAACATATAAACCAAAAGAAACTGCCAAATAAAGTTCCCTTTTCGGAAATTAAAACTTACAGTAAAATGGAAAACAGTGTTTATTCTCCTTTCCTCCTTCCTCATTCATATTTGAAAACTTTCCCCTGACTTTTCCTAGTTGCCAAGTCCTTGATGGTGAGAGGAGCCCCTTTTTGTGGAACTTTGTTGGCAGTTTTGCACCCTATGGTCCCGGGTAAACCTGGGGGTGGGCATGGTCTGTCTGTGGTGCCCCCCCCCCCAATTCCCTTCCCTTCCCTTGATGCCTTCACCTAGCAGGTCCTTCTTTGGTTTCAGGGTCCCTCCTGCCTAGTTTGAGAAGGGTTCTCTCCGCTTCAGGCGCTCGCTCTTGGAAGGAGCAGGTGGATCCTGTGAGACCCCGTTGGGCGCCCCATTGTGATACCCTGGGAGACTTCTCCCTCCCATTCTCCCCCTCTCCCTCCCTCCCTCCCTCCCTCCCGATCCCAGACCCAGGCGCCCAGGGCCCGTCTCCTGCTGACCTGCCGGTGATGAGCTGGCTCCTGGAGGGGGTGCAGATGGGCTGGATGTAGTAGTTCTCCAGCTTGACCCCTTCGGCCGCCAGCCGGTCCAGCGTGGGCGTCTGGATGTCGGAGCCGTGGTAGCCCACGTCGTGGAAACCCTGGTCGTCGGTCAGGATGAAGACCAAGTGGGGCGGGCGGAAGGGGCGGGCAGGAGGAGGGGGCCGCGGCGGCGCCCAGGGCCAGGACGAGGACGAGCGGGGGGGCAGGGCCTTCTCCCCGCCGGCCTCCAGGGAGGCGCCGCCGGGCTTGACCCAGTCCCAGGACAGGTAGCCCAGGCTGAGCAGGCTGAGCAGGGAGGCGCCGGTGAGGGCCGACACCGCCATGCTGGAGCCCGGGGGCCCCGCGCGGGCATCGAAGGGCAAGGCGGGGCAAGGCAAGGCAGGGCAGGGCGGGCAGAAGGGGCAGGGCACGGCTTCTCTTCTCCCGCTTCCTTGCCCGCCTGCCCGCCTAGCTGCCTGCCTGCCTTCCTCCGGCAAGGAACTTTCAGGGCGCCGCGCCACGGACGGACGGACGGACGGACGGAAGGAAGGAAGGAAGGAAGGAAGGAAGGAAGGAAGGAAGGAAGGAAGGAGAAGGAAGGAAGGAAGGAAGAGTGCCCCGCCTGCCTTCCCAGCCGAGGAGGAGAAGCCCCCGAGGAACCCACGGGTGGCCTGTCAGGAGGCGGAAGAGAGGGCTTGGAAATCGCCCCCCAGGAGAGCCAGATCGGGCGCCCCTCTCCGCCAGCACTTGCGCTTCCCGCCCCAAATCTCGAAAAGTTTTCCCCAGCCCCTGCTTGCTTTCCCAACTTATACCCGCCCGGCGTTGGCCGTCCCTCCCCCCTCCCTCCTCCCTCCCGCGCTTCGTGGCCAATTGCGAAGGCAAGCCCTGGTCCCGCCGGGTTCATGGGGAGCCCGAAGAACACCTCCCCACCAGCACACACACACACACACACACACAGGCAGCCCTCCCTCCTTCCCTTCTCCTTCTCCAGCCCAGGGAAGCGCAGGAGGTTTTCCCTCCCTTTCTCCCCCAATGCACCCTGCAAGTCGCTTCTGGGCTGAGAGAATCAGCCCTCTACAAAAACGTTGCCCGGGGACGCCCCCATGTATTGCCATCCTGCGGGGAGGCTTCTCTCATTTCTCCCGGCGTCGTATTTATCTGGAAGTAGCAGCCAGTCATAAAAGAATCAAGGCATGGATGTCTCCAGGCCATCCTCTGTACCAGTGGTTCCCAACCTTTTTTTTCTTGGACCAGGGACCACTCCAACATCAAGACCAAAAGGTTTAGGAATCTGGTTTTGGTCAGCTTTAGATTCGGTTTGGTTATTTGGGGTTCTGGATAGGCCACATCAGCTCTAGTTTCTGATACAGACATATACCACCCAGTAGTTGCCATCTTCTAAGCCCACAGAAAACCATATTTAATAATCTAGAGCTGATGCAGTCTATCCAATGCAATTTTCTGAATCAGTACCCCAAATAACCTCAGGAACAGGCCTAAAAACAAAGACACCAAGGAAAAAAATATTTGGTTGGGTTGTGGTATTACTTGTGGATTTTGTTAACACTTGGCACTATAAGAAACCAATCACTCTCATTGCAATGGTATAGTAGCAGTGAAGCTACGGACCATATTTTAGTTCTTGCAGACCACTGGTGGTCCACGGACCACAGGTTGGGAATCACTGATCGGTACAGATATCAGCCAGTTTGCCATGTCTTAAATCAAGAAATAGCTTTCTAAAATCTACAACAGGCATGGGCAACTTGGACCCTCCAGGTGTTTTGGACTTCAATTTCCACAATTCCTATCAGCCTCAGGCCTCTTCTTTTCCTTCCATTCCTTTCTGCTTAAGCAGCTGATGGAGAAATGGAAAGGGACTGAGACTGATAGGAATTGTGTGAGTTGAAGTCTAAAACACCTGAAGGGAGGATCCAAGTTTGCCCATGCCTGATCTACAGAGATACTCTCTGTATCTCACCTCAGCAAGCCAGAGTCCAAAAGTGGCAGGTTAAAACCTGGAACTTCAATCAGTGGCTGGTACTAGATGAGAAACTCCCCCCAGGACATGCAGAAAACTGGGTGACTTGGAAGGCACTGAACAGACTGCGCTCTGGCACCATGAGATGCAGAGCCAGTCTTAAGAAATGAGACTACAAAATGAAATCTGCGACATGTGAGTGTGGAGAAGAGCAAACCACAGAGCACCTACTACTATGCAGCCTGAGCCCTGCCACCTGCACAATGGAGGACCTTCTCACAGCAACACCAGAGGCACTCTATGTGGCCAGCTTCTAGTCAAAGGAAATGTAGTATAATGCCAAGTTTTTCACTTGATTTGTGGTTTTTCCATACTTTATAACTGTAGTATCTATTCACTTCTGACACAATAAATCAAGAAATCCATCAATGCCTTTGTCTGGAACTCCTTGATGGGCACTTCCTACAAAGGAGCTCCAGAAGTTGGTGACTTCTTTCTTCTCCTTGACTGAAAAGCTATGAGTAGAAGGCCCATTTGACACCTACAGGTTCAATCAGGGGTTCCCTGGGTGACACAGCAACACACCTTCTAAGGTGGTCCGATTTTTTATGGGGAGCTCAGCTCACAGCCCAAATCTGGCCACCACCTCATTTTATGTGGCCCACGAGGCTTTCAGTACCAGGGCAACATAGTTACATTTATACAGTCTTACAGTTACAGTTGAACCTTTGGAGACAACCCTTAGGCTGATGTCTCCCTAGATCAGCATTTCTCAACCTGGAAGTTGGGACTCCTGGGGGGTTAATGATGGGGGTGTCATAGTGGTCACCAAAGACCATCTGAAACACAGTTTTTTCTGTTGGTCATGGTTCTGTGTGGGAAGTTTGGCTCAATTCTATCATTGGTTAGGTTCTTTGATTGTAAGTGAACTATAAATCCCAGCAACTCCAACTCCCAAATGACAAAGTCAATCCCCCCCCCCCCCCCCCCCCCCCCCCCCCCCCCCCGCACCCCCACCAGTATTCAAATTTGGGTGTATCGGGTATTTGCACCTAATTTAGTCCAGTGAATGAAAATACATCCTGCATATCAGATATTTACATTATGATTCATAACAGCAGCAAAAGTTCAGTTATAAAGTAGCAACGAAAATAATTGTATGGTTGGGGGTCACCGTAACATAAGGAACTGTATTAAGGGATCACGGCATTTGGAAGGTTGAGAAACACTGCCCTAGATGAAAATGGGCTTGACACCCTTGGCTCACTTTTAATCTATCACTCACAGGCCAGCTGCCTCCTCTTCCTTTTCTCCCTGTAGCAAGAAAATACAGTTTGATTATGTTTTTCTAATTCCATCCCAATCAGTTACCTTTAGAGTGCCCCTTCTCGTAAATGTTTGGGATCAGAAGAGTTTGGAATGTCAGGGTTTTTTCCCCAGATTTTAGAATGCCCATATTGCCCTACATAATGAGATAATTCAGGGGCCCAAGTCTAAATGGAACCCAAGACTAGACCCAAGTCTAAACAAAAATTGTCTGTTTCACATACACCGGAGTGCTATTTTATGGAACATTTTAATAACTGCATGAAGCAAAGTGTGTGTACACTGAACCATTAGAAAGCAAAGGTGTCTTTGTTTCAGCCACCTATGCGGACAAGTTTGAAAGAATTTGAAATTGAAGATAAGAGATGTATAGTTTCAGTTGAGATTTCAGGAATGAGAAAGGCTTAGTTAGCCTAGTCCATATCCCTGGGTTCTCCCTACTCTGAGTGACTCCCAGTTCTACTGCAGGTTTCAGGTTTCAGAAGTTGCTCAAATGCAGTGTCCTTCTGGGAACCCTGAATGGCATAGTCTTGAAGGCCACCATTTTGTCATGCTTTTTCTGGTCCTTCCCAGGAGTTGTTCCAGGTGGTGGTGCTAGAAGACAACCATTTATTACAGACATCCATGGCTTCTGAAGAGAGTGGAAAATGGTGGGCCTTTCATGTCACCAATACATCAATCACCTCTGACTGACTCTATGTTTCTTTTTCATCATGCTCTATTGAGGTGGTAGGCCATCAGGACATCTTCTGTTGGGATTCTTTGGAGGTCTCTCTGCATAGTGTCCTTATAAACAGATGCTCTTTTCACTCTTAACTACCAACAGAATGGTGGAAGCAGGGAGACTTTGAACACTGTAGAGCAGTTGTTCTCAACCTGTGGGTCCCCAGATGTTTTGGCCTTCAACTCCCAGAAATCCTAACAGCTGGCTGGGATTTTTGGGAGTTGTAGTCCAAAACGCCCAATGACCCACAGGTTGAGAACCACTGCTGTAGAGGAAGAAAAAGAAGCTAGTCTCTTCAATGACTCTGCATGGTCCTGTCCCAAGAGCTTGCCATAATTTGCCTCTCTATCAGGAGAAGGGTGGACACTTGTTCACTCACCACCCTTTTCCGCAGTGTCTCAGAAATCCCTTTGTTGACATGGCTCCCTGGTGGTCATTGTACTGGTGTGATGACCATAAAAATCTATTTTAAAATTTGCAATGCTTTCAGTTCATGTTGTGGTTGTAAGCCTTCCATTCATTTCTGACTTACATCAATCCTAAAATAATTATGGATTTTCTAAGGCCGAGAATGCATGACACGTCCAAGGTCACCCAGCAGTTTTTGATGGTCTAACATGAAATCGAACCCTGGTCTCCAGAGCCATAGTCCAACTCAAAAACCACTACACCATGTTTGCTCTCCATGTTACAACACCAGAAATACCAAACAGGAGACCAATCACAGGAGTATACTATACCATAAGAAACTAGCTGGAGGTAGAAATCTGTCATTATCTTTGCATATTTCCTTTTTGAAAAGAAATGTAAAGGTATTTTACATTTTATTTTTATTTTTGCCATGACAGAAGTGACTTGAGAAACTGCAAGTCACTTCTGGTGTGAGAGAATTGGCCGCCTGCAAGGACGTTGCCCAGGGGACGCCCGGATGATTTGATGTTTTTATTATCGTTATGGGAGGCTTCTCTCATGTCCCCGCATGAGGAGCTGGAGCTGATAGAGGGAGCTCATCCGCCTCTCCCCGGATTTGAACTTGCGACCTGTCGGTCTTCAGTCCTGCCGGCACAGGGGTTTAATCCACTGCGCCACCAGGGGCTCCTTTTTTACATATAAAAACATATTTTCCACTAAAATTGTTGAAGTTGTGGGATATTGCTGCTGCTGCTGAATCCTGTATTTGTGTATGTGTGTTATGCTGCTGCTGAAAAACATGGTAATATTTTCACTCCCACTTGGGGGCAAAAACTGTCACAGCAATTGACAATTTTGGCAATGTGTCTTGACATATTGAGACAACCTTTCTTGTCGAAGATGAGAAAAATGGTGAAATAGTTCACTATTCCTGCCAGATGCTGGTGACATAGTCCTTCAAAGATGATAATCTTTGAAATCAAGCAGAAGCAACTGGGAGTTTTGATGTCAGCAAAGTGATGAATCTATACCAGTTTTCCCCATACATTAAACAGACTGTATTCTATG